CCCCCGTCCGGCAGGGAGTGGTGGATTAGCTTGATTCTCCCCTCACTCCTCACTGCCGCCGTCCGAAAAGAGGACGGCAAAAAAAGGGGGGCGAAAGACTGTACCCAACTGAAGTTGGCGCTTATCTGCAGTCCTGTTTGCGGGGATGACACTGCGCTGGTCAGCAGCACGAATCTCACCACCACCATCACGAGCAGGCGGTCGCTGACCCCCTAAGGTTGTGCGTGCGCGTCTTGTGCACAGCCACCTGCGGACCGCGGCGGGGCCGCCAAGTGGCTTTCCCTATCGACGTATAAGATCGCAGAGGAGCCGACCTGCTGCGGGCCCCGCGGACCGGACGCGCGCGAAAAAGTTTGCCGCCGGCCGGCCCCGCCGCCGCTGGCCCGCAACACTCGATGTTAATCTTTAATATCACTTTGGGCAAGTCAAAGTGGCGCCCATCGGCCGCCGCTGGTGCGGGGGAGGGATGCTGTGCCGCAGCGTGTAACGACGGGCTCGACTACACTCTAAAAGGACATGCTCTCTGCATCGGCGATCTTGTAAGATGCAATCGTTTAACTCAAAGCATAGTGGCAAATTTGTGTCTTCTGCTGTACCGTCTGTAAAGGCAATACACTACTGTGTTGCGTGTTTGCCTACTCTATCTGCCTGTAAGGCGTCACGCCTTGGGTATGCAAACCGCAACACTGGGGAGTATTAGCCTTTACACTCGGTGCATTTTTATAGCAGATGACACCTTCAAACACTGAACACTCAACATCAAATGTGCATCAGTAATATTGAGGTGTCAGCTAGTTTATTGCTACTTTTGTCCAGTGTAATAAGATGATACCTTTTCTGCATTTGGGGTTTAATTATTGCATCCATCTTTGCGACTTGCTGTTAAATTCCGCCTGTCCCTCTCTTCGTCCTTTTCGAGTGTACGTACCTTTTGCGCCCCATTGGCGCGGTGCTGCTGTTGCACGGCGGGCGGGTTCGCCTTTGAACGGCCGATTAGACAGCCATGGGGCAGCGCGGCAGGGCCCGGCCGCCGCCGCCGCCGCTGAATAGCCGTGGGGTCGTGAATACGCGCGAATCAGCGGCGCTGCGCGGGGCAGTCAGAGGCCTCCTGGCTGCCTCGGGCGGGCGCAGCCTCCCTCCCCCCTTCTCCCCCTCCCCCAGCGACACCCCCGCGCCTGCTCGAGATTACCCCGGGCTGTTTCAACTAGCGTCCATTCACTCCGACACCACCACCACCGGCCTGGCGTAGCCTGGCGCGGGGATGGATCCGACCGGCATATGAATTATTTCACCCCCTCCTCCCCTCCTCCCTCCTCTCCTCCTGTCCCTCCGCAGCGCGGCGCAACTCCCAAGTAGTAGTAGTAGTAGTAGTAGTAGTAGTAGTCGTCCCCGCGCTACCACCATACCACCCCTCCTCTCCCTCTAGCTGGTTTCGACTTCATCGCGAAATTTGGTTGTTTGACAAAGAGACGAGACCGAGTTTCGTGTGTTCTTCGCGCCCGACTAGATACATGTCAAAGGCTTGTGCGCGGGGCAGGCCTTGCCGCTGAAGGGGAAGTTCGGGGAGGGGGAGAGGGGAGAGGAGGGAAGGGAAAAGGGGGGG